ATTGATATAATTATGAAGTTATATCTACAGCCAGTCTGTCTACTGGACAGGGAGTTATAAATGTTTATCTTAAACTAGTATAGTGAATTGTATAGTCAAATGTCATCGATGTCAGTGAAGGAGAAGACTCAGGGTCAGGGTCGAGGGAGAGAGAAGTTGGCTTGTTTGGTGGTTGGAAATGAAATAATTGACATTGTTGGGAAATATTAAATGTGTAGCGTATATTTTCATCTAGATTAAAATATATTTGTGCAGTTGTATGCAGTATATTTTAACTACACATTCATTTTTCTCAAATATATTTCATAAAATATAACCATAGATTTTTATGTAACTATTTGTATTAATAATTTGTATTAATAAAAGTGTAAAATCATGCTTTAAGTTTATCATCTATCCTTCATTTTAACATAATGATAAATCCCTTATATTATGGTAAATAACAATTGTTACAGCACAGCATACAGCATTTAATTTAAATGGGAATATATAAATGGGAGAGAGAGAGAGAGAGAGAGAGAGAGAGAGAGAGAGAGAGAGAGAGAGAGAGAGAGAGAGAGAGAGAGAGCTACAATAGGCCCGTATGGAGCCTTGGATACAACCAAATGACTGGCATTTCTGGGCCACAAAATGCACAGTGCGCGTCTTTCTTTCTTTTATGACAAGTCTTCTGTTTAAGAATTGTTTGGACTTTTTTGCTTCTCTTAAGTGTCTGACATGGCACAGGGAATTCACCATGAGGAAGTATGAATAACACGGAGCTACTTAAATAATGGAAAGCCCATCACCTGTGCTATTTGATTGTGCAAAAGGACATTAAGTGACAATGTTTTTGTTTTTGTGCAAGGCCAATGAATATGAGAGAGTCTCTGGAGGAAGCCTCAGCATGCTTCCGGTGTCCTGGGGTCTTCTCAGGTGAACCTCCAACTCAACCATTAGGGTCTAAAGCAACAATGCAAATTCAATGCATATACATGGACATTTTTAAAAAGGCCCATTAGTATTGAAATGTATAGGCCTAAAAGTGTTTTAAATAGATCCGTCAAAAGCCAAACGCAAAGTTCAATTGCTGAACATCTGCTTTGCTGAGTGAGCGTTTGCCAAAGGCCTCACTCAGGGGACCTATTAGCGTTTATTCCAGTGCATGCTCTGATAAGGAATTCATCAAGTGTCTGACACCCGGCCAGATGTTGGGGAATTAGCGCTGTCTCATGATGGACATCCCACTAAATAGGCTACGTCACTATGCTATTAGATTGAAGCATCATAGAGTCTGAGGAGATCTATATAGTCAAGTACAGGCCTCACAAACTGACCTTTTGGATTTTGTTGTTCCAGTGACCTTATTTCCTCACTTTCTGAGAAGCACGCATGGTGCAACGTTAGTTGCGTTTAAGCGCAACGAATGGGGATACAGCTTCATCTCGTTTGTGTCACGAAAGCCACGAATAAAGAAAAAAGGCAAAGGTACTAGGCAATAATGGAAGCTAATTTCTTGCCAATATTCAGCCTGTTTGAGGAGGAAACTCATTAATTCAACTCTCAGTGGATAGCCATACCATCGCATTCTGTTATAAATTGTAAAACTACACTTATGTAAGACATTGTTCAAATAGTGTGGCAGTATTTGTTTGGTGATCAATTGGCGATTGGGTTTATAAAGCTTGTTGCGTGACAAAAGGTGGTCCGAGACTGGCTCCTGTGGCTTTATCCTCTTAAAGCGCAGTGTACTTAAACAGCAAATGCCAGGACTGCAATGAGACGCGAGGTAAAGGGGTTTTGACTGACCAGTCAATCGATTATCAAACTTCTGTGCCATGCCCAACACAGGCTGCACCTGCCCCCGAAACTGGTGCCCCGTTAGGCACACATGCAGTCAGATTTGGCGGGTTGCACAGTTGCCCAGCGGCACACAGCGATTATAAGCTTGAGTGCCAGCAGCGTGCAGCATACAAACGTCCTACTCTCAAGGCTCTGACGAGGACCGCTGAAGCAGAGCACTGTTGTGATTCAGCCTCTATTCTATATACAATTGCATCCACGTGACCGTCACCGTTTTCTAATCTAGCAAGAATAGACGAGAAAAGCCTTTTATGTTTTCCCTGTATGAGTTGCGTCCCCCTCCAACAAGAGCATCACACACTAAAGTGCAGTGTAGGCCTATATCTTGCATTTTGAAACACACTTGGCTATCAGGCTAAGTGTTAAAATAGTTTGTCCAGTTGGAAACCCCGACCACTAACTATGAACAGTTACCGCGCTATCTAACATTCGCATCATAGCATTTGAATTGGTGCAATCGCGTGTACCAGCTCTGAACTGTGATCTATAGTGCGCGCAGCGTGCGTGGCACGACGTGAGCCCGCCGCGTTTGTGAGAAAACCGGGTCTCTAGTATTTTACGTCACAGTGTCTGAGAGGAGGAACATGAAATGTGCGACTAGACGAGCTGAGCAGAGAGGAGGGGTTGTTGGGAGTAGGGGAAAGGGGGGAGAAATCAGATAAAGGGGTTGGACATTTGTGCGTAAAACTTCTTTCTGTGTATTACTATTTTTTATGTATTTATTTGACCATTCTACAATATATATTTAAGCATGCCATTTATCTGAGCAAAATGTCTTTGACTGAATTGGAGGAGGGTGGGAGACGGTTTGGCTCCAGTTATCCATAGCCATTATCACGGTCACACGGTGTCCTCATCTGCCCGACTGCATGCGCAACTATTGTTCGAGCAAATTCAAAATGTTCTTTAATAATAATAGTAATAATTAAAAAAATTAAATATTGTTAAAAAAACTTGCCTTTAATTTAAACTCTTTGACCACTTAAACTATTTAAACACTTTATTTTGTGTGATTAGACATGGCATGCTCTACAAATCAAAATGAAGAAATAGTACTGCGCATAATAATAAAAAAAAGATTTTCAGATTTTTTTTTTATTTCAGTCAAAATTTCCGTTCACATTTCTTCATAAATAGTTGGTAAAACAAATTAACCAACATACAGTAGCCTAAAAAGCACAAGGAAGCTTTGCTTCTGGTAGCTATAGGCTGTTGTAACAGGTTTGCCTCATTGTGGCACAGTGACTCAGTTCATCATTAAAACATTTTGCTCTTCAGGAATAACTTGAGTGTGACCCATTTCTCCCAGAAAGCGTTACAACATCACATTCTAGCTGTGTTATTGGCTCTGACCTCTGACACGGGGCAGAAAGGTACGGGAATAAGAAATTAAGGTATAGAAAATAGCATATAAAACATATATTCCTTAAATTATTTAAATAAACTCATTTCATATATCACTGTCACGAGGTACCATTTTTACATTTTATTTTAAAAGTAATGCTGGTGGTCTGAATTGTTCTCTTCTGAGCACAATATACTTTGTTTCTGCATATTATTCAATTCTTGAGAATAGGTTACAATGCAATGCTGTAACTCTTTTGACACTGGATGTGTTCTCCTCTGCCCACATCTAGAATACCTCTCCCTAGTTTTAGTTAACACAAAATGCCATCTTGACAAGTTATTCACACAAAACAAGCAAATGTGAATCAAACTGCTCTATATGCAACACCACAACAAAGAACACGCTTTAGTTTTCACAGAAGAATTACATTTAAAACAATGCAAGCTGACAGACCAAAAAAAATAAAAATAAAAATAATGTTTTTTTTTATTATTATTATTGAAAATACTGTGTTGTGACAGTTCCATTGTTGCCGATGCACACAAAACATACTTGCACAAAGACATTGCTGGAATTAAAAATCGCCTCAAAAATCGCCTTACTGGCGCTCATAAGTGGGCGTTGACCGCAATTTTGTAATAATGTGATAAACTTCATTTCGACTTCATCGCACTCTTCTAAAATCAGTATAGAGTGCAACAGGCTGCTGGGAGTGTTTTTCAGTATGCTACAAATTGACATCTATCTGATCTATAAAGTAAATACACAAAAATCTTATTTGAACAAAATATAAAGATATCAACATAACCGTTTTATAGCTTCTCAGCTCATCTGAACTTAGTTCTAACAAGCGTTACATGTCAATGGTCTCTTAAAGAAAAGTGACGGAAATATCTGCATTATATATAGACAAATCCATTATATTCATATATGCTTTCTTCAATCCAAATAAGACACCTGGAGGCCTACTGGTTTAAAAGAAACAAAGCAGAATACAATCGCGAAGTGGGAAATGTATTAGTCATTTGTTCAATGTTAAGTTGGTTATGACCAAAACTGTACAGTTCTTGTTAGAAAACATTTCCATAAATATTATTTATGTTTCAGAACTTATACCCATAATTAAATTACAAATTGATAAATATGGCATCATGGATATGTATTTACAACAGTATTAACAAAAGGCAACGTTTATATTTAACGGTAACAATCGTAACCAAATAACCACATGTGTCCACCTGAAAACGGACGCTGACAACAGATTCAACCCCATCAAACAAGGAAATACATTCACAAGTATACTATTAGTTTCTGCGTTTTTTTTCTGTGTTCAAGTTAATGACAAAGACTTTGGCACGTTTCTTAAGACTGTTTGAAAGTTCCAACAATCAAATTTGAAGAGGCGGCAGCGCGTTGCCACCGTAGAAAAGAGCGTAAAATAGTACCCTTTCTTTATTTTTTAAATAGAAAAATGAGAAAATACATTAAATGAAACAAGAGTTATTTGCTGTAAAGAAAAATGATACAAACATGTATTTATTTGAGAAAGCAAAGTATGTTCATTCTATTTATTCATTTGATTATTTTGTTTATTTACGCGTTTTATTTCCACCAAATGGTAGAATGAAAGTCAAATTCCATGATCCTGAGAATGGACGTGGCCTGCGTGCAGCTTGCTGCCTTTTGCTCTTGTCTCCTGTTGTAGTCCTAATCCCGTGTGTGTATGTGTAGACGTGTGTGTTAGGGTAAAATCCGTGCGTCTTCAATGCCGTGGTACACGCTGGTAAAGTGTTTTCTTTGAGTCATTGAGTCAAACGTACCACTCGTTAAAGTTTGGAGCCAGTCCTTCGCTGTGACCAGACGTGTTCTGTACCACGGCGGACGGTGGGGTTTTTGTGGGGTCCTCGGTGCTGCCTGAAACCAGTACTGGTGGTGTGGAGGATTCGTATCCAGAACTGGCAGCCGGAGATGATTCGGATCCTTGAGACTCGTGAACCTGAATACGCACATAAAATACGCATGAGCTTTTCATCTCGTCTAATAAGCCTAACATAACTGACTTGATCTATGGCCTGCAAAACTGTTGCATATTCAGCATTGCAGAGGACACATTCAAATATAAAGCAACACTAAAGAGGGCATATTTGTCAAGTGATGATTATTTGTGTTTGGTGCATCGCTCCGCGTAAACATTCTCCATTTAGCCTGGTGACCAAAGAAAATAGTAAACACAAACAATTGTTCGCTTATAGACCGTTCTAAATGCGTTCTGTAATAATGTGACGGTCCCTGTCAGCGGGAGGGGGCAGGGTGGGGGAGGTGTGTTAATGTGTTTAATGCGTAATGAAGACGTTAATTACCTTCATGTGTTTCCTGAGAGAGCTGGGGTGCGTGTAGGACTTGTCGCACACTTTGCAAATGTACGGCTTGTCTGACGTGTGCACGTGCATGTGCTTTTTCCTGTCGCTGCTGTTGGCGAATCGTCTGTCACAGCCATCAAATTCACACTTAAACGGCTTCTCACCTGGGGGAATAAATGCATACACAACGTAAATAACCTCAATAGCTTTCACACACAAAATGTTATAGTCGCGCCAGTTGCAAAAGCTACAGACCGGATATGTGAAGTGTCTGCAGCCCGTTATATAACAGTAACCTACATTTGGAGGGCGACGTGGATCGAGCTCCACTACCAGGCTACTACACGGTGCCCTGTCAGGCGTTATTTATTCACGAGGCCTCATGCTACTACTCCCTGCACTGCTCCATAGTAAACACTGAATCAACAGGGCATTTGACCACATACATCTAAAACTGTGTTATACAGCCTACATACAAACACTGCGAAGCCTTTGTGCCTGATTAGTGTATGGGATACAGCTACAGCCCGCATTCAAGAGAACGAGACAGCAGACGAGCGTCCACTCAGGCAATCCAAACTTTTACAACTTTGTCATTACAAACTCCTCAGCACCTAAACATTACAATTCACCAGTTTTTCTTTGGAGCACTCTATCAGTAGACCCACTACTCAAGTAAGCTGTAAAAATGTTTGTTCGGAATATCTAATTGTAACAGGCTACTTTGGGAGGGGAGAGTTTACTAAAACCCATGCACTATAAAGCAAAATCTGCCTCAGAGCCCAATGTAAATAATGCACATTTAAAGCATAAATGCACTCTTGTATATTTATCATTTCGCCGCAGAGAAACAATATAAATCATAAAAATGTCGGTGCCTACCTGTGTGCGTTCTTTTGTGTATTTTCAGATTTTCTGACCTGGCAAATATTTTGCCACATCCAGGGAACGGGCATGGGAAGGGCTTCTCTCCTGTATGCACTCGAATGTGATTCACAAGTTTATACTTGGCTTTAAAAGATTTGCCTTCTCTCGGACAGTCTTCCCAAAAGCAGATATGGTTACTCTGCTCCGGGCCGCCAACATGCTCCATAGACACGTGTGTAACCATCTCATGCATGGTGCTGAAAGTCCTATCGCAAGTCTTTTTGGGTCTGTTCATCTGGTTCTCGTCTATCCACTTACAGGATAGCTCTTGTTTAATGGGCTGCCGCATGTATCTAAAAAAGGCCCCGGGGCCATGGTGCGTGGGCACGTTCATGCCCATGTTCATGTTGATGGGGTGGTTGTAATTGTGCAGCTGGGCTCCATAGGGGTCTGTCCGAGGACTAGCCACAGGACGGTACGGATCGGGTCTTCCGAAGATATCCCCGCGTAAGCCAAGATGCATTTGGCTGTTGACTACATGTCCGCTCGGTGACGTGTGGCTCACCCCCTGGTCGTGAAGTCCTGGAAACAACAGATGTCCGGGGTTATCGGGGATCCCCGGCGGCCCGTGAAGACTCCCTGCCGAAGCAGCAAAGATTCCGTGTTGTGCACTTGGAGCGGGAGGCTCTGCAACACCGCGGTTCCTAAACAGAAAGTCCCGCGTGGAATTGAACGCACCACCCCCGTACGAGCCCACCTGGCCGCCATGCGAGTGTCCCAGAGCGGCTGCATACCCGGAGGCTTGCGGGGTGAACGCAGACGTCTGACTGGAGGCGATGTCATGCGCCACTGGGCTGATTTTGAAAGCTGCGGAGTGAGAGGAGTCGGAGAAGGGATTCAGCCCCAAACTGGGGTCTCTGTTGCCGAGCTCGTGGTGGTGTCTTGGTGTCCCGAAGCCCCCCACTCCTAAAGATGCAAACTGCGGACCACTATCAAGAAGCATCATGAAGCAAACTTAGGGCGCAGGGAGAAAACTAAAAATCAAATTTAAATCCAGTTTAGCGGAGCACTCAAACCAGCTCACACAACGCCGGTATCTGTTACGTTTAAGAAAAATCCTTAAATAAAAAAGAAGCCAAGTCAAAACGGAGAAAAATCCTATGCGTAAAAGAGTTGGGAGAAAAAAAACTCCCGTAGAGTGCGGTCCGTGAGAAAGAGGATCAAACTTCCCCCCCTTTCCATGCGGATGATGTCCTTGGACTGATAAAGTCAATCACTCACTCCCAGAACATAAATGAACTCGGGAGGCAGAGCTACGTTAACCAATCCGTGACTAGCTATCCACGAACCACGTGACCACTGAGGCGAGTGGTAATTGGCTAGATTTCTGGTGATTGGCAGTGTTTGCTATTGAAGATGGCAGCTCGTCTTAACTGGGTTCATTTGATTGGCTCATACGGGTTTACTTAGCAGGTATAGGAAAAGTCGAACGCACTTTCTTGCCTACATGGTTTCATACAACACTCATGAACTAGTAATGCCTCAGTTCAAGAGGACAAAACCACCAACGTTTTGCTTATAGCCTACATAATGTATTTGTCTATCTTCCTAAGCAACCGCTGAAATTTTCCTGGCAATGTTCCAAATTTCAAAAGTTACTTGAAGGGGGAGGGGGGTGGGGGGGCTCCATAGGGTGTAACATTGTGGAATAAAAGACTGAAAAAAAAAAAAAATGGCAATAGCCTAATTGTAATATCTTGAGATTTGGCTTGGCTAAAATTCATTGAGTGAGTTTCACAGGGCTGTCTGATTCCCTGTGGGACACAAAATCTGATCAAGTTCACAGGCGCGTTGAGTGCTCCGAGCGGCGCTTTTTAAACTCCAACTCGTTTACATCTTTCCCCCTCTGAAGGAGCTCACAGCCTCTGTTTGGGATGAACCCGACAAAACTTTGAGCGATCACGTTTCCTTTCGCCGTGCTCTCCCACTCACACAGTGCCCTTCCTCCAGACACATAGATTGGAAAGGTGAGTTTGCTTGTCCATTTCTTAGAGTAGTCTAGAGGTAATGATGGAAACAAGACTCCTGTGTCTTTGCGCTGTAGCCTGTGTTACTCGGCGCTCTTGTGGCAGCCTAATTGAATCGAAAGCAGTTTGCGCGCTTTTGCGCAATGCTGCAACGCTTCTCCACATGTTGCACCATTAAAAAGCAAAAGTTTGGATAGATAGGCCTACCTGCTCCCTCCTCCCTCTCCATCTCTCTCACACTTAACTCTCTCTATCAGTTTTTGTGTAGCCTGCGCGCGCACTAAAGGCATAACTTCACAACGCACACATGGTGCTTGCGGTGCTCTGAGATTTATGGCGACCTTTCTGAACTTACAAGTGACGAGCAGCCCGTTAAGTTTGCTCTGTGTCCTTCATATTTATTAGCTCGTTGATACAACCCATGTACACAGTATTTTCTGTGTAGGGTAGCTAATGTGTGCGTGTGTGTGTATATATACATATATACATACACATATATATAAATATATGTGTGTGTGTGTCTGTGTGTGGAATTTCCAACAAGATAAAGATAAAAAAAAAGACAAAATATACATTTACTCCAGAAAAAAAAAAAAAAAAAGATGCCCATTTCTTTCCATGGCTCATTGGCCGAAACAGAGACACCTATCAATGGATGGCATCTTAAGCACACGTGAATAAATGGCTCATTCTTTTCTTTTGATAAAATCTTTCTCTTTTTTAAAAAGTTTTTATTTATTTATTTTTTATTTTTTTTCCCACGTAAGAACATTTATTTAAGAAATCCACATTGTGTGATTTTCTCTAGCCTTAGAAATAAATAGCCTAATGCCTATGGATTTTTTTTATTTTTTATTTTTAATAGGCCTATTTGGCACATTTCAAGTTAAATATTCTTAGCAAGTATTCAAGTTTTACTAATTTAATTTAGGCTGTTTTGTATGGGATGTAAAATAAAAGAATTTAGTTATCTCAACTGGGCTTACCTCACTCACGTTGGGATAGCTCATTGGTTATAAAATAATCTGCCACCAACTGAGCATGCGCGTTGCCTTAAAAAATAGCAATATTGTAATGTCACACCTAGGTCCTATGTGACATAAGTACATTTGGACAAGAGCAGAACAAAACTCTATCTTATGGTAAACCACAAACATTTCTAAGTGTTTTTTTTATTTTTTACAGGTTTACATTCTGCATGTTTATTATAATTCTCATAATTTATTTAAAATAAATATATGTATAAATAAGTGTTTGATATTAACAAAAATCGAAGACAATATTATAAATCCTTATATCTGGGTTGCAGTACTGGCCGCTCTCTTTAGGCCGATAGGAAAGTTATCTTAACTTTTACAGTCTATTGATTATATTGATTGCTCATGGTCACAGAGTGAGATGGTGTGATTTTTTGTCCTACTTTGACATTATAAGTAGAGGATCATTTGTACAATTATCAATTGCTTTGATTGTTATGGATAATTTGGCGTATGTTTTTTCTTTGTTTATTCACCTCTCAAAATGGTCTTATCCCAGTATTCTCGTTGTATGACATGGTGACTGATATGCATATCAGTTTGTGTTTGGAGGTAAGTGTGTAACCACAGTCCATCAGTTTGCCCTATTAAAAAAATAATAATAATACAAAATAAATTAAATAAATAAATACAAATAAAAAATAGAGTAATTTAATTACTTGTAGTCTTTTTCCTGCATTGGTCGTTTGTGTTCAATATATTTCCAACTAGTTTTATGTTTGTGTGTGTGTTTGTGTGCGTGTGTATGTGTGTGTGTGTGTGTGTGTGTGTGTGTGTATGTGTGTCTGAGTGTGTGTCTGTGTGTGTCTGTTTGTCACACCGCTACTTCTCAGGAACACAAGTCTTTGATTCTGCATATTGTACGTAATGCATAATGCATTTATTTAGACATATTTTTTACTGGCAATCATGAAAAACTGAATTATATTTACATGCTGTTCAAACTGTTGGCACATATTCAACAGTAGAAAATGCAAATTAAGCGAGAAAAGAATCCAAAATATATATTTAGGGTCATAAACAGAGAAGTAGGCTAGATTACATTTCTTACGGTTTTAATATTTTAAATAACTGAAAACCTGAAAATAATGTCAAAAGCAATTATGAGTTTCTGCTCATTGTATTTTTATTACTTGTAGTTTGGTAGATTGTTGATTATGGTCTAGTGGTTGAACTTCACAATGGTAAACCATATTTGTGGCGTGAATAAATGGCGTAAATGTGGCCTATATGTTTATTAGGATAATGGAAATGCAAGTCTAAGGTGAGAATTTTAAAAATGCACATTTCACAAGCCTTCTTTTCTGTCAAGTTGATATCAATAAACTATATACATTGTTAAGGTGATTTTTCATTTTCTGTATCTGCGTTAAACTTGTAGCCTACAGTTTTTGGTCAGAAACACGACGAGTGCTGGTGTGATGGAGTGATGTCCTTAGACAACCTTTCAAGTTTATATTAGTCTGATTCTGAAACTTTTTAACTCTTTGCAACAAAAATACATGCATAATGTTCTATCTCTGAATTGATCTATTGATTAGGCTATATTCAGCCCGTGTTATAAAGTTGTTGTTACAATAATCGGCCTGGGCCCACCATTTGTTATTGTGCAGAAGTGTGAGGGGCACTGGGGACACAAATCTGCGTAGCCTAGTATAAAACCTGGTTATGGTTACTCGCTCACTCAACCTATGTCCTGGGCGCATTTGGAGAGACACTGGAGGGTCTGTGCAAAGGCTCCCAAAGTTAGCTTGCAATATTTTATCGCGGCACATTTCAAAGCATTTTCTCTGCATTATTTGAAAACGGAGTCGTGTGGTGAATGCCTGCGTGTCCCTTTTAAAACAAACCCAGCGCCTGTCAATCATGGCGCATTCCAACCAATCCCAAAGCTCCCCTTTTAAAAGCAGGTTTGCCTGCTGTGCTTTTATATTGCACCATGGCCTGTTTCGAAGCATTTTACTACCACGGTTATTGCCACAAATCAAGAGGGCAAAGTGAACGGCATGGGACTCACACCAACTTTAACGAAATTGAGTATGGTTACTACTTCTGCGAAGTTCACGGCCAAGAATTTCACATGCAGATGATATACACCACGGAACATGGACAATGTGTCTGTAGGTGCATCTTCAGAGCTGTTGGTTGACTTTGGTAACTCATAGCCAAACTCACAACAAAACATGACAAGCCTTTCGAGGTTTAGTGGCTGCCCTCTCTCCTGCGTCAACCCCGGAGAGAGCAATACTGAACCCAGCGTGGTGCTGCCACCTTTGGCAGGGGAGCACATGGGACACCCCACTGGCACTTCTTTAAAACTCTGCCTCACGCGCAATTTGCGAGACTACCCCGAGACGAGGTCCAGTGCATATGTTGACCACTCGGTGGCTACTTTTTCAGACCCTGGATACCCAAGCCACCGGCTCGAGCACAGCCCTCGGGGCATCCTCATTGGAGCCAATCTCTCTGGAGCCGGCATGCCACCCGTCACTGATCAACTGGCACCACGAGCTAACCAACATGGCGGTGTTGAAAGGTACCGTGACTTTACCGGTGTCAGGGACAACCGGAGCCATGCTTTTTTCTCCAGCTACCAGGAACAGGCCCACGGCTCTACTGACGGGACTCAGATGATGCTTGGTCTACCTGGAGACATCCTTACGCGGACACACCCCTACGGTCAGAGCCTCAGCCCCAAGGGCAACAGTCAGCAGCTTGTCACCCAGTTTCTGGGGCTTTACAAGCCCTTAAACATGGCCATCCAGCGCGGGACAAGCGATGCTTTCTTCAGGTGCTCCAAGCAGAACGTCAAACACGAGTTGCTGTGCAAGTGGACAAACAACCACGAAGGAGCTGGAAAAGTGCCATGCTCCAGAGCATTCGGCAGCATGTATGAGCTCGTGACCCATGTGACCGTGGAGCACGTCGGCGGACCTGAGCACTCTGAGTACGTGTGCTACTGGGTTGACTGCCCGAGAGACAGGAAGCCGTTCAAAGCCAAATACAAGCTCGTGAACCATGTCAGAGTTCACACTGGGGAGAAGCCCTTTCCGTGCCCGTTTCATGGCTGTGAGAAAGTGTTTGCTCGTTCAGAAAATCTGAAGATCCACAAGAGAACGCACACAGGTTAGTCAATAATAATAATAATAATAATAATAATAATAATAATAATAATAATAATAATAATAATAATAATACAATATTTAGGCGTACATTTTCGATGATGTAGCCTATTGTTGTGAAGTTTAGCAAAAGCATATCGCAGCCCACATGGTGAGCCTGGTGAGCGTAGTCAGGCCTGCTGCTGGTTTGAGTGTCTCTCCCTCTTCATTCAGTTAAATTAATAAATAAATACTGGGACACCGGAGAGCTGTGACGTAGCCATTACGCGCATGTGCCTCGTAGGGACTCTCCTTGTAAGCGCTAGAACATTCGCTATAGTGATGTAGCAAGAAATGAAGAGATGATTGAAAACTCAATTACCTCAGTCACTTGTATGACAAAATTATATGATTGATCTTTTTCTTTCTTGGCTTATTGATTTGTCTCAAGGCTTATAAAGTCATCATAGTAACTGCAAACAAATGCATTAATTAGCCTATCATTTGGAAATGTTATCAGTGTTTACAGGAAAAATGTAAATACAGCATGGACACGTGCACTTGTAATACAAATATGCTTTTCATATAATCACGCAAAATATAGGGCAGATTTTAAATTAGGAACACAGATAGCCTACAGTTCCGTTGTTGTAAGAGAGGGTAAATTGATTAGGCTAAATAGATTTTTTCTTTTACTTTATTAAAAGCTGAACCGCTACTATAGCACAACATAGGCCTGCATAAAAAGCCATTTTTTTAATTAACCTAAGCTATATTCAATTTGATTTTAGTTTGATCACCAAAGCCACTTCAGCGCTTTTCGCCTATTCACTGCCCTAAACAAAAATGCTACTGTATCTTTTCTGTATTTTACCATGTGGAAGTTGAAAGACTGAATGCTCATATTGTAGGAGGCCCATCACTGCTCACTGAACATGAGCGTATGTGTCCGTATGCCTTAGACTGAATTAGAAAACAAAGGCGCGGTGCAGGCTTTTGTGAGCATCTGATAACGGGCGTCATCTCTCTTTCCACTCGTTTAGGTGAAAAGCCCTTTAAATGTGAGTTCGAGGGCTGCAGTCGGAGGTTTGCCAACAGCAGCGACCGAAAGAAACACTCTCACGTCCACTCCAGCGACAAGCCTTACGTGTGTAAGGTCAGAGGCTGTGACAAGTGCTACACACACCCCAGCTCTCTGCGGAAACATATGAAGCTCCACTGCAACAAGCCTCCTCAAAAAGGCACCGAAGCGCGCTTAGGAGACGAGGGCCACATGCCAGAGACCAGGTCAAACCGTGCACGGGAGGCAGCTCAGACCATCCCGCTGCACACCCCCACCAGCCAGGATTTGCCCCTGTACACAGACAGTCGCGACGAGCACAGCCTGAGGTCACGGCTACATCACTCATTTGACAGTGGCGTAGACTACTCCGCGCACAGAGCTGGGCCTCTGCTGGAGCCACTGCTGCAGCGAGGCTCCTACAGGACACAACACGGACAGCCAAGTGGACAGGCCCCGCACGCCTTCACTCAGAGCTCGAGGACTTTCTCCACTTCTCCCTTTCAGAAGAGTCTAGTGAACGGCTGGTACACTTGTCACAGTGGCGTCGATTCCTTTCCATCAAAGCAATGTAACATTCCGTCAATGTGAGATTCTTCTGGACCCTTGCAGCGCCAAGTTCTGAAAGTCGCACTCGCTTCCATCACTGTATGTTAATTGTCCATTTGTGACATGTGGTTCTCACTCGTGTTGTAAAAGACATCACTGTGCGCTTTATGGCTCCGAGACCTGTTCAAACACTATCCATCCTAATTCTACAGGACCTACTCTACAGATATTATTGCCTATAGCCTATACATTTTTGTATTGTCACATAAAAGTCGGGATAACCAGTGCGAAAAAGCAAAAAATAATTAGGCTCAAAGAAACTATGTGGTGTTCATTGAACTGTAGGCTTTTATCAAATGTGTTGAATGTACGTTGTGGAATGTAAACTAATGTATATTACAAATGCATAAAACCGTTACCAATGTTTTTATTTTTTAATGTTTGTAGCTTCTTTCCCCCCCAAAGCTCTTTGTATGCGCTGATGTGGTGGGCCTTCTTACTCTCTCGGCCAGTGGAACTCATGGGGTAAAGGCCTCGCCCTTTTAATCCTCATGGTTTTCCTCCATATAGTTCCTGCCAGTAGGGCCACAATTCCCAGCAATATTAGTTTTTATGAGTTTGTGCTTTGTCTCTAAATAAATAAACAATGGACCTTTATTTTGATTATGTGTTTTGTTTTATTACACCAGTACAGTTTTTTCCATCACTTCATATTATGTATATTTAAGATCCACTATATCGGTTGTCATTATTACAGATTTTGTTCAGACCATATTTCGCGTATGAAAACGTAAAACATTAAGTGACCATTCAATGCTTCTTTAGATGGCCACTGGAGTGAAGGTTCAAGTTCATGACTTTTGTCCTGTTACAAATCTTCAATAGTTTAAAGTACTCACAATTATTATTTTAAAAAATACATTTAGGGATCTTTTTTATTTAATTTTTTTTTACTTCATTCACATTCAAGCAACACTGAATCGTACTATTAATTTAATGTTGTGGTATGTTTTTTGAGTGTCACAACTTTTGTATATTCGGTCTCCCTTTATGTCTACTTTGTATTATATGTTTTTTTTTATTTCTACCAGAACTTGATCGCAACAACTTATGGGAATGTTCCGGTGTGAGTTTGTGCATGTTAAAGTACCCAAACAATTTCCTGGTAATTCTTCTGATTGATACCTAATAGATAAAAAGTAGCAATAATGGTGCATTTCTCATCACTATCAGTGAAAGGGGAGCATGACAGTGGATGTCCAGGTGGCAACGACCACAAGGTGAAACCCAAAACCATGGATTTTTGATGCATTGTAATACTTGTGCTGTATGTGTCTCAAGCTGTGGTAATGTTCCTTAATTATTGAACTCTGACACACCCCCAGAAATCACAACCAATTGGACCTCTGCTTCCCCTTTGCCCCCTTTCCGCCGCCATTTTTACTCTAGTGTTCTCTGCCTAGCAACAAGCGGCAAGCGCCATTTTGGGTAGGGTACACGGGGCGCTGATCAGCTGAGTGTAAATAGATCCATTGCACCTTGGGTTTCATTGACTTGTCAGTGTGCACCCCTGGGTGGCTGTCATGCCATCATAGGGTTTGGCCCCAGCTGTGTACCAGGGGGTGGGCTGCTTCGTCACACTGGCTCTCTGGCTCTTTGACACATCATCATAACCATGCATGACACTTTGCGTAACTTACACTATGCAGTCTTGCTATCTTGCATGTAGGGTGCAAGTTGTGGTTAGTGTCCAACACGGTCCCAGTGGCAGTGAAGATTCTCAAGAATGTTTCGTTTTAGTTTTTAGTTTTTTTCTAGACCTGCTTGTCACAACAGCAGTACGAGAGTTCACTAATGCCCTGTTTTCTGCCACAGGTCTTGTATGTTTGTGCCTCTGTCTCTTCAGATCCCTCTGACCACATGATGCTTCTGTTTAGTTTCAAGGTAAGTGGTTGTTGTATTGTAAGCACAAAATACAAAATAGCCCTAATGCTAGTATGTAATTTCCTCTCTTTTGGGTTGAATGATAGAAGATGCCGTGGAGCATTTGAACTTGACTACTAATGCAAAAAGACCATTTGTTTTACTGAAGCAAGACATGATCCCAAGTATTGAATTTTGAGTCCTTCCCCTTGCTGATTTAACCCAGGAATAACATGATATCTCCCTTATTCCTTTTGCAAATATTTATCGGCTAATCTGTTTCAAGTTTAAGCTTGTGATAATTTGAGAATTTGAGCTCAGCCCTCAGAAGTGGGACTCACGTAAGACAATGCCATTGTCTAAATAACATGTACAGTAGAAGCGCGCTTAAATCATACATATGCCAGTGAAAATACAAAGGTCTTACTTATTATTTCATGTCGCCCTCGTCTTTACCTGCACAGTGGTTTTCTGATTTCACTGGTGCCAGCCCCCCGCTAGGTCCAGTCAAAACCAGGGCTAAAGAAAGTGGGCCTCTATTCTCACTCCTGCAGGCTTCGTCCACTGTAGACATACAGCATAGTTCACTAAGTTCTACGAGCACTGAGTCATTTTATTTATCTCCAAAGTAATTTTATTTTTTATTCAAATCAAGACACTTATTTGATGAATAATAATAATAATCATCATCATAATAATCATAATAATCATCATAATAGTTTTGGGGTGTACCTAGCCGCAATTGAGGCAGTTTTGGAAAAAAAAAAAAAAACAACACCTAACAAACACACACATACCTTTTGTTCAAGTGCCCAAGCTGTGCTTATATTTTTATAAATAGTGATCTCTAAATGTGCACTCGTCTATGTTTCTACTTGAACATATTTAGATGGAGATACGCACTCAGTGCAGTACTTTGGCTCTACAAAGTAACACAAAGTGATTATTGTTTTAAGCCATCACTTCTCATTACCAACTACATTACCTACGTACAGCTTTTGAATACTTGTTTGAAATGCACAGTGTTTGAGGTGTAACTAAATAAGATGATCACAGTGGCGGTGGTCCTGGCACTTTCAAAGCCCTGTGTAATCGTGTGTGTTAATTTTATCTGTTGCAGTTATGCATCGCAGGGCTGCTGTGTAATCAAGCCTGTGAACAGCACATCTGAAGAACGCATTGGGTTTGTGATCACATCCCACTGAAGTCCGGCCATCTCGCTCCACACCACAGTTTTCATGTGTTTCTCTCTTGGTATGTGGCTGTCAAAATATTTTACAACTGATTACTATTTATTATTAGGTTACTATTGTTTAAAAAGTCCAACTATCAAAAAGATGGGTCAGTGCAAAAACTGCAAAAGTACATAAAAATCCATCAGTCGACTTCAGCTTATCAACTGAATGTGTATTTAATTATTAATTTATTTGATCATTTATATTCAGTGTATTTAGAATACTAGTTGATATTACTAATAAATCGTACATTTCTAAAATAAATTACATTTCAACTAAATACAAAATAAATTAAACCAGCAATTGGATTAATTTGCTTTGAATGTTCTTAAATTTGTTTGCTTTATTTGGTTAATAGGAACCTTTTGCTGATTCTACCAGCTGCCTTAGCACATATAGGAGGAAATGGGACCACCATTTGAGGACATTTTGCACCTGCTCTGGGGCAAGTCACCCTTTTGTTGACATAAGCATGTACAAATGAGCATGTACAACATTGACTTTGGCTTTTAAGGTGGTCTTGCAGTTCAGCAAAGTATCAGAGTACACTCCAGTATAGAACTTCACCACTGGGTTTACTGTGTGAACACAAGCAGTGGACTGGGGGGTTTCTTTAACTTAATCTGGCTGGGGCATTAGAGGGACTGGCCCTTGGTGCTCATGTGTTTGAAAAGTGTTTGTGGTGCTCCCAATTATTTTGTAAATAGTATTTTTTTTTTTTTATAGTAAAAAATATTTTTCATAAAAATTATTTTATGCAAGATGATTTTTACTCATCCAGATATTAAAATTCTTTCATAATTATATATACATTAACTCCCCGCATTTTTCATTTGGAGCTGCATTAGTTGGGCGCATTTAAGGAAATGTTATACCAAGAGGGCGAGCAGTTAACCTCTGGTGTAGGAGAGCACCCTAGGGCCTAACTATACAGTGATGGATGTGGGGCGGTGGGGTGCAGCGGGCCTTGCACACATCCAAGAATTCCCTTTGGGCCTTTTCAATTACAGTTAGGCCAAGCCAGGCACTGCCATCATGTGTTGCTTAGACTGTGACATTAATGGATTGGATAAATGTGATTTGGTGACAGCACTCCACTAGTTTTTGTAGATACTAGAAGGCTTTTTGTGGCTTTATTTATTTAGTCTTAAAGTCTTCAATCAAATCAGCTCATTTAAGTGCCTGTGACGCTAAACCACTGTTGACCGAAGTCATTTACCTTTAACCAAAGGGTAAAGCTAGCATCAGGAGCACCAGATCATTATCCATGGTGCCTTTGAGGAGTCCAGGTAAGGGATTCTGAAAAGTTGTGGACTGTCTCTTTATCTTTTTGAAGATCAATAGAGCAGCCTAACCTCGCGTTGGGCCTATGCTAATGTATGATAATGCCTTAGCTTGTGTGTGTGTTATGCTTACAAAGATGTGCAAGTTTCAGTGTATCACTGATAATATAAATCCTCCACAGATGACCTTCAAATAGGGATTTACCTCTAACAAGGAGAATCTCAGGATCACCCTATGTCACAACACATTTGTATTACAATAAGCTCAGGCAAATGCATTTGTCCCTGTGTTAACTGTGCCAATTGGTGACTCATATTATAGCAATGTAATCATATTATATATATTTTCCTGTCAAATGTACAATTTCAGTGTAATTTTTATGCTATATTTTAGTTTTGACTTTGTAGTCAGTAGAAACATTTCTGCCCACAGCTCCATCATGATGTGCATAAAGTTTGGCTGCACTTAAGAGAAACATGCAAAATATAATAGCAGCATTGTTGGCAGTATTTAGATAAATAAAAGGTGGATTTGCATATTATATTTGGTGGGTGAGATATAAAACAAACACTGCATTGTGTTTTAGTTGATGTAGACAGA